CCAAATAAATTTGTTAGTCTCTAAGATGCCACAAGGATTCCGCGTTGATTTTTCAAATGAAAAAGAGTCCCATTCAATTACATCACATGAAGGCAGACACATTTATTTAAGTGGTTGTATTCAAATGCTAGAAGGCTAAATACTATGATGTGTGAACTTGAGAGCCTGGTATTAAATGAGGATACTGATATAGTAGGCATCACAGAAACTTGGTACAACAATCATAATCAATAGACTATGGTAATACCAGGTTGCAAAATATATAGGAATGACAGAGTAGATTGTGCTAGTGAGGGAGCGGCACTATATATGAAAATAAGTAGAGTCAAATATAGTAAAAATCTTAAATGACTCAAACTGTCAGAATTTTTATGGATAGAAATTCCAAGCTTGAATAATGAGTGTAGCAGTAGGAATATATTACTGACCACAGTGAAATGCTCAGAGAGAGGCTACAAAAACAGAGAAAACCCAATAATAATGGAGGATTTCAACTACCCCCATAATGACTGGCTACGTGTCACCTCAGGATGGGATGCAGAGATAAAATTTCTAGACACGATTAATGACTGCTTCGTGGAGCAGCTAGTTCTGGAGCCCACAAGGGGAGAGGCAATTCTTGATTTAGTCCTAAGTGGCGCACAGAACTGGACGAAGAGGTGAATATAGCTGAAGCACTAAGTAATAGCAACCATGATGTAATTAAATTTAATATCCTTGTAGAGAGGAAAATACTAAAGAAAACCCTTTTTAAATACTACTGTGGTGGGAATGACACAAAAATGAGGAAGCTAGTTAAACAGAAATTAAAAGGAACAGTCACAAGAGTGAAATGAAATGCCTGCAAGCAGCATGTAAACTATTTAAAACATCATAATAGAGGCTCAAACTAAATTTATATTCCAAATTAAAAACCCCCAGTAATGACCAAAACCAAGAAAATGCCACTATGGTAAAAGAGATGGTTAGAGGCAAAAAGGCATCTTTATAAATAGGAAGTCAAATCCCACTGAGGAAAACAGAAGCATAAACTCTGGCAAGTCAACCGTAAACGTATAATTAGGTGGGCCACAACAAGAATTTGAAGAGCAACAACTAAAAGACAAAAACTAACAGCAATTTTTTTTCAGCACATCAAAAGCAGAAAGGCTGCCAAGCAATCAGTGGGGCCACTGGACAAACCAAATGCTAAAGGAGCACTCAAGGAAGACAAGGCCGTTGCAGAAAAGCTAAATGAATTATTTGCATCAATCTTCACTGCAAAGGATGTGAATGAGATTCCTTCACCTGTGCCATTCTTTTTAGGTGATAAATCTAAGGAACTGCCTCTGAGGTATAAATAGAGAAAGTTTTGGAACAAATTAATATTAACTGTGGTATGAAACCTATTGCTTAAATCAGCCTCTGCGCCAGATGATAGGAGAATAGCTAATGTAATGCCAATTTTTAAAAAAGGCTCCAGAGGCACTCTTGACAATTACAGGCCAGTAAGCCTAATTTCAGTAACACGCAAACTGGTTGAAACCATAGTAAAGAACAGAATTACCAAACACAGATGAACACAATACACTGGGGAAGAGTCAACACTGCTTTTGTAAAGGGAAATTATGCCTCACCAATCTATTAGAATTCTCTGAGGGTGTCATCAAGCAGGTGGACAAAGGTGATCCAGCTGATATAGTGTACTATACTTTCAGAAAGTCTTTGACAAGGTTCCTCATCAAAGAATCTTAAGCAAACTAAGCAGTCATGGGATAAAAGGGAAGGTCCTCTTATGGATCAGTAACTGGTTAAAAGGTAGGAAACAAAGGGTAGGAATAAATGGTCAGTTTTCACAATGGAGAGAAGTAAATAATAGGGTCTTGCAAGGATCTGTACTGGAACCAGTGTTGTTCAACATATTCATAAATGATCTGGAAAAAGGGGTGAACAGTGAGGGGCAAAGATGGCAGATGATACGATACAAAATTACTCAAGATAGTTAAGTCCAAAGCTGACTGTGAAGAGTTACAAAGGGATCTCACAAAACTGGGTGGCTGGGCAACAAAATGACAGATAAAATTCAATGTTGGTATATGCAAAGAAATGCACATTGAAAAACATAATCCCAGCTATATATATAAATGAATGGAGTCTAAATTAGCTGTTACCACTCAAGAGATATCTTGGAGTCATTGTGGATAGTACTCTGAAAACATCTGCTCAATGTGTAGTGGCAGTCAAAATAGCTAACAGATTGTTAGGAACCATTAGAAAAGGGATAGATAATAAGACAGAAAATATAATAATTCCACTATATAAATCCATGGTACACCCACACCTTGAATGCTGCATGCAGTTCTCGTCACCCCATCTCAAAAAAGATATATTAGAATTGGAAAAGGTACAGAGAATGGCAACCAAAAATGATGACTGGTATGGAACACCTTTTATATGAGGCGAGATTAAAATGACCAGAACTGTTTAATTTAGAAAACAGATGATTAAGGGAGAGAGATGATACCATAAAACAATGGTGTGGAGAAAGTGAATAAGGAAGTGCTATTTACCCCTTCTCATAATACAAGAATGAGGGGTCACTCAATGACATTAATAGGCAGCAGGTTTAAAACAAACATAAAGAAGTACTTCTTCACACAATACACAGTCAACCTGTGGAACGCATTGTCGGGGATGTTATGAAGACGAAAAAGTATAAATGGGTTCAAAAAAGAATTAGATAAGTTCATGGAGAATAGGTCCATCAGCGGCTATTAGCCAATATGGTCAGGGATGCAATCACATGCTCTGGGAGTACCTAAGCCTCTGACTGCCAGAAGCTGGGACTGGACGATAGGCTGGAATTGTCCTGTTGTGTTCATTCCCTCTGAAGCATCTGCCACTAGCCACTGTCAGAAGACAGGATACTGGGCTAGATGCACGATTGGCTGTACTGGGTCAGACCATTCTTACGTTCTCAATTCAGTCTAACACCACAGCCTATTTACTTTTGTTTGTTTTTAGCATAACTTGTAATTGGTGTAAAACTAATTACTTTTCCTTTTAAAGTCTGCACAGTTATAGGCAGTTTTGTTTATTTTTTTTTAGCCGGTTCCTAACAAGATTGCCCAGCCGTGACAGGTAAGTAGCATCAGTAGGAATTCAGCATCATATTTTAAATGATTGACACGTCAGTGTGAAAGTATAGTTTGGTATAATTATACATAAGTGTTCATAGCGGAATACAAATTGGCTCCTTTTTCAGACTTTTTCTGCCAGATAAGTGCTGAACAATTTAGAAACATTTAGAAAATATTTTACATAAAATCTGCTATATAACTAAAAATTGGTTTTTACAGTTGAGGTTGTATGGGATAAAGTGATGATTAATTTATTCACTAATGGTCAATTCTTCCAAATACTGTACTAGGTATTTCTGTTCGTAGGTTGCTAATAAAGGCATATTGTTGGATTTAGCTTCATCCATACTAGAGTGAAGCTTTAATAAATAAACATTTAGAACAAAAAGTTCTGATTGGCAAACAGTTTGCAACTTACGTCATGGTTACAGAGTACGTTGGCTAGTTGCTTCCGTTCCTGTGCATAGTATGCTGCCTGCTGGTAATAGAAACCTGGATTCTGAGTCTGAATTGCTGTCAAGCCTAGTTTAATAGCCTCATCAAACAAGTCTCCAAAGGCCTGAAATCTTTAAAAACAACAACATTTTTTACCTGAATATTTACTATAAAATGTAAGATTAAGCTTTAACTGTGTGATATATGTGGCTATGGTTAAATACAATACACAATGGATTTGAACTAAAGTGTCATTGTAAATTAAATTAAAGGTCCAGTTCATCCAAGGCTTTCATAGGTTTTTGAACCTCAGTGACCCATTCCTACAACTGCATTCATGTGGGAGCAAAACTGCCAGGGTCAGGGCCCAGCTATTTTGAAATAATTGTACTATGTTTTGTAAAATGTGTAGGGTTTTAATTTCCATATGCATTCAGTGCTCATGACTGATGCTGACTGACAGCCCTGGAGACTGAAGTCCTCCCTTTACATGCAGAACAAATAAAGACTGGGCAATGACAATGAAAGCCTCCTAACTCCTCCCCACTAACTTGAGGCAATCCCAATACGCAGAACCCTCCCGCCCGCTCCCTCAGAGGACAGCAATCTTTACAGCTATGGCCTGCTGTCTACTGTATGTTTAAAACACAGTATAATGTTATGATATCTTTGTGAGGTTGGCATACATTATGAAGTTTTAAATTCTTACTGAAGTCAGTTAGACAAAGCTTCTAATAACTGTAGAATCAGACTCTATATCTCACAGTAGGTACCACATGTTGAGTCCCACCAGTTATGAATTACTGTCAGTTATTAATGCAAAGCACACTGACACAGGACAATTAAACTAATAAATGTGTAAGTATATTATACCTTTTAATATCTATTGCAACTCTTTCATGAAGGAAATTCAGAATTTCACTGCTTCTCTAGACATAAAACAATTAACTTTGTGAAATGCTTATTCATGAGCTACAATGGAAGTATTACTTAGCAAAAACATACTGTTTAGACATCCAGGCAGCATGCTCAAAAGCCAACTCTGCACTGCCTATTTTTTTCTTGCACAAGTCAATGTGTTTCCTGAACTGAGCAATTGCATCCAATGGGGTGTTATGCTGAAAACAGAGGCGACAAATCTACAGGAATCAAAATAAAAGGAAGACTTTAAAATCTTTATCAACGGTCTAATCAAAGTTCAAATTTCTAAAAGTAAATCTAACATTAGAAATGTAGTAGGTAAATGGTAAGATCCCTAACAATTTAGAAGTAAAAACAATATAAAAATGAAGGTCGGATACAACACCTGATAGCGTTTTATATGAAGCAAACAGGGTTCCGTGCCACATATCCACATGGCCCTCCATATAAATTATGGCAAGAACTGAATGATTAGTCCTCTCCAGAAGAAAAAAAAAAAAAAAATCAAAAGGCACAGATCAAACTCACCTCAGAAGAGAGTGAACACCACACACACTCCCAGATCCAGCATGGAACTGCTGGACTATTTGGGAGAGGAGGGATGGACAGCGCCAGATATCCTTTGGAGGCAGTGATCTTCCCCACAAAGGCTATGAAGTCTGCAGTAATCCAAACCTGCTGGATATCCCTTTCAAGGGCCTGGTTGAGGACCAGCTCCAGTAATGTTTTTTTTTTTAAAATTGGTAGGTAGGAAGACACTTTGCTGACCCAAGGTCCTCTAAAATCTGTTCTTCCAAAGGAAGAGACATCCTTTCCTCAGGATTACTATTCCTTCTCCACCTTTTAAAACGGGGGGAGGGTCATTAATCTATAGGCTACATGAACTTGTTTCTGTAAAATGCTGTTCATTCCCACTGACTTCAAATGGGAATTGAGGAGGTGCTAAACTCTTCATGGGATTGAGCCCCATGTAAGCTCTAGCCCTTTAAAAAACAAAACACAATACTAAACACCTGAACCCAACTTCTACGGAGGAGATATTTTCTCCTTGGAATTTGAAGTAACCTCCACAAGCTGGAATTTAGGGGGACTGCAGTCGGGTAGTACTTTAGAGCTAGATAGTGCTCTAAAAGCAATAATATAGGAGAGGTATTTTTAAAATTAAATCTTTACAGATTCTGAGTCCTTCAACTACCTTTGTATTTTAAAATGTACAGGTTTGCTAAAGGTTACAACAAATTTGTTACCTTGTAGTTTATAAATCCTGCCATGGTCTTGATTTCCAACATGTTCGTTTCATGCGCCCTCAATTCATGTACAAGATTATATGCAGTTCTGTAATTTCTAAATATGAATGTTTACAAGTTAGGTGGGTTGGTATACCAAAACAAAACAAAAACTATTCAAAAAGAAAGAATCTGCATTCAATGAAAATAATTTTTCTGGTGAAAAGCTCATTGATAACAGTAACCCATACAACTGACTGTGCATTCACAACACCCTCAAGCAAACTTTCTATTTCTATTTATTGGTCATGACAAAACTTTCCTGCCTTTTTCCAATCAGCAGTTTAGGAGTGATTTAAAAAGAAAAGAAAAAACAAACAAACCCAAACCCTGTACTTTTTTGCTTCATTAATCTCTACCAACAGGCAGACTGAACACAAACGGCAATAGTCAAAAGAACACTAGGATTACACGTTCCTAAAAGAACGTTAAAAACATTTCTGAAATACTAGTAAATCTTCAGATTTGATAAATAGTAGCACATATTCAGAGGTGTAGCACAGAAGTCAGAAGCTGACTATTTTTTTGTTAAGCAACAAAATAGTAAATTAGATTATTGTGAAGTTTGGATTTAGTTACAGCGTTTGGTTTCAGAGATACATCTAAAAATATCCAGAAGTGAAATTCAGAAATCTTTGCAGAAAGTATCCATGGAATGCTTTTCCTTAGCAAGATACGCTAAGTAATACAACCTGAGGGTCAGCTCTAAGCATGCAACTGACTATGAAGTCTATCCAACAAAAGCAATTAAACACACACTCAACTTTAAAACATGAGTAGTCCACCAATTGACTTGTTTGTTATCTTTTTTTTATTAGAAAGATGCTGACAAATAATGATAGTAAAGGTTGGGAGCTTACTTTTCCTATATTCCATTTACCATAATAGAAATGTGACCTTTAAAGCCCAATTGAGACCATTTAAATGCTGACATTAAGAATAGACAAATACCTGCCTCTCCAAATTTTCGTTAAAGAAAGTAACAAATAAACAAGGAATTAGATGCAAAAATCATTTTAAGGCAACATTAAGGTTGCACAGCTGCACATCATTAAGGAAATGCAACAGTTAAGGCTCCAAGAGCAATTGTGTGGGGGAAGGAGGGAGCATGTGCGTGCGTATGCGTGTAGAGTATTTTCTATGCCCTTTGTTTTAAAGGTAGAGTTTAATTCATTGCTATTTAGGTCTTAATGTACTCCGTAAGAAATACAGGATGTACAACACATCAGTTAGTGTTGAAGTTGGAACCTTAACCTTTGTACTTCTAAAAGTTATTTTATATCAATGTAAATTTAGAAATATATTTGAAGTATGAAGAAGTTGAACACAAACTCAAGAAAATTCTTCGTATCAATATTTATTCTGAACAAAACAGACTAACAAACGCATAATTCATTACACTGTAGAATGAGCTCAAAATATTGATTGCTTGATTTGTTACAACTGCCCAAATATAAATTTAAGTTTTACATTTCACTAACCCTGAAACTATCAAAATAGTAAGAGAAGTCACTGAGAAAAAAGAAAGTTTACTTACTTTAGAGCATTCTGTGTATCCTGTTTCAGCTCACTGAAAAATGCTATTTTGAACTGATGTCTCACAAATAAAAGCTGCAAAACACAACCAATATTTTATTGGAACCAATAATCTAAATGGAGTACAAACATTTACAAAATTGGAATATATTTAATACTCAGAGAAATCACAGATAACTTAGTTGGAAGTATGCAGAATATAAGGAAGTGTATAGATATCACAGAAAACAATGATGAGTAGTTGTTTAATAGCACGACACACAGAGCTCTTTTGCTAAACCTAATTTATTGCTCCAACCCCAAAAGAAAGGGGGACAGCCTTGTACCGTCCATCAGTGACCTTGAATAGACACCTTAAGGACACATCTCGTGGCTCTGAAGGCAATCTTGTCCTGTTTTCCAAAATAGAGGATAGCTGGTGGTTGCAACACAAGTTCGTGTGTCAAAACCAGTATTTGGTGAATTGAAAAGAAACAAAATGATTACCAAGTTAAGCCCAGAAGTCTGTGGTAAGTGCCCTCTCCAGCCTGAGCTAGAGCACTGCACAGATAAACAAAACTTCCTTATAATTTCTCCCCTTTTGCAAAGTTTTAAAAATCTGCTTGACACTTCCTGTTTCAGAGAGGATATCCCAAAATACATCGATCCATGACATCCCAAATATCAGAGATTGCAGCAAGACACTTGGAATTTGGTGTGTTGTTACTGGAATACTTCAGGCTGACTTAAGGTGTGACGTTGTGCAGTCTATATGGTTTTATAAAAACATGATAATA